CTTGTTCAGCTCGTTCATGTGATGAAAGATGTCTGCTAAGTATGCTAGTTTCTGCAACCATGCTCCATCTTCAAAGCACTCAGCAAAACATGGAATACTATTTTCTTGAAAATACTCTTGCAATTTTGCCTTCAGCTCAAACACCCTGTTGAGAACTCTTCTGTGCCACTGTATTTCTGTGTGTAACAGGAGACTTATGTGCTTTTTGTCAAGGTTTTCACACAGTTTTTTAAGGATTCTTGAGTGAACTGGTCTTTGTTTAATAAAGTTAACCATTTTTGTAGCATCATCCAGAACTTTTTTTCATTTCATCTCCAAGAGTTTTTGACACCAGCACCTCTCTGTGAACGAAGTAGTGTGTTGTGGCAACATCAGGATTTTCTTTTCTTACAAGAGAAATGAAACCTCTCATGGAGCCAACCATTGATGGAGCACCATCAGTACAGATGCCAACATAATTAAGAGAAATGAAACCTCTCATGGAGCCAACCATTGATGGAGCACCATCAGTACAGATGCCAACATAATTAAGAGAAATGAAACCTCTCATGGAGCCAACCATTGATGGAGCACCATCAGTACAGATGCCAACATAATTCCTCCAAGACAGACTTTTTGCTTCCAGATATGAAGACAAAGCATTAAATACATCTTGGCCTTTGCATGTTTTATATAGTTCTTTGCAGCAGAAAAAGTTTTCTTGAATTTCACCTTCATTTACAAATCTTACAAATGCCATAACATGACATTCATTGGTGAAATCTGTTGACTCATCAACTTGGATAGAAAAGCTGCTTTCTTCAGTTTATCACACAAAACCTTTTCAGCATCATGTGACATGTCATCAATATGTCAACTTATTGTACTGTTTGACAGTGGAACCTTTTCAATTTCTTATACTGCATCTGGTCCTAGCATTTTCCCCACTATTCTTTTACATGATGGCATGATTACTTTCTCACTGAAAGTGTGACTTTTCCTTTGCTGTGTAATAAGTTCTGCTACTAAATAATTTGCTTTTTGGGCTTTTTTACTGACTGTCATTTTATTAACAAAGGTTTACTCTGTTCTGTGATTCCAATAGCCATTTAAAATAATCAGAACTTGTCATATGGCTGTGATATGTAGTTAAGTGTCTTTTTAAAGTTGTTGGAGCCATTGCTGCATTTGTAAGTTGTTTGCTAAAGATGAGGCACAATGGAATAGGACAACTTGGATCACCAGTCCATGTAAAACCCATTAATAAATAGTGTTCATTGTAAAGACAGACTTTTTTTTTTAGTCCATTGATGTACCAGTGCAGGGAAATGCCTGAGGAGATTTAAATTCTTCATTATCATTATCATCATTAAACGTATCGGTATTGTCCGTTCTAGAATCCTCCTCTTCTCTCTCACACCTCCTCTTCAAAAATCGCCACATCGGACATGATTGAATAAATGTTTACAAAATTTATTTAAAATAATGGGATAAAATAACTACAGGAAAACCGCAGGGAAAAGATGTGGGAAGGAAAGACTGATTTCACAGACTAAGTTGGATGAGTCCATTAATTTCTTGAAAAATGCACTTCTCCTTCTTGCAATATATTCCTCCCTTCCTCCCTGTTATCAAGAGTTTCCCCTATCCTGTGTCAAAAATTAAGAATGGATTCAACCAAATAAACACACTCCTACAGTGCACTACCAGAGAGCTCAGAAAGAGTTGTAACTAGATTTTTGTTCTGTCTCTACTCATCACTGCAAGAGCATTTTGCTCAAATTTGAAATAATTTTTAAAATTATGATCTCCCAGGGAACCTAGTAACCTCTCGCGGAAACCTATGGTTCCATGGAACCCTGGTTGAAAAGCCCTGTGTTAAGCTTTCATGTCTGTGTTGATTGCTTCTGAGGAGATGTCTAGGTACAAAAGGTCTCTATTTTGCAAACTGAGTTCATTCTAAATCTAGTTATTCCAGTACTGTTTCTCCAAGATAGTAAGTCTTTGCTTGAACTGCTTGAAGGGCTGTTGGCATTCTGTTTGGCTATGGAGGAAGTAAGTTGTAGGCCTGATGGAAAATCTACATTCCAGTCATAGCTAATTCAAGGGTGTGTATTTGCACATCCAGAAGAGAAGGAAGTCATCAATCTAACTAATGAAATAAAGAGGCACTATTTCAAATGTTTTTTTTTTCACCTTTAAATATAAAATGCCTTTTAAAATCACTTGCCCAACAAAGAGATTATCATGTTTTCTTATTACAAGAACACAAATGTATTTATTTCTCCTGAAAAAAATAAAAGAATATTATTAGACCAAAATCACAGCCGATTTAGCCATTTGTTTATAGCATAAACTGATGCAGCAAAATAGTAGGTATGCCCTAGCTTTAAAGTGCTTTTCTGTACTTCTCTCTAGTTTATGTAGAATAAATATATTTCTCTTCCAAATACTCCATTAATATGGGATGGAACAAAAGCTGTTCGTTTGCTGCTGAAAATTGGCAGAAAATTGTGCCAACCCTTTTCAGAGTTGCTAAATTTCAGCAGCACGACCTTGACGGAACCAGGGCTGCAGATTAAATGCTAGGGGCTGCAAATGGCCTACAGATTATCCATCCTTCTATCTCTTAAGGGCCTAGTGTATCCCCTCTGCCTCATGCCTGGGGGTCTGGCAGTAGTGGTGAGCCTTGGCAATGGCTATATTAAATGAATGTATATTCACCACCTGACTGTGATTATGTTTTATTAAATTTTTAATTGTGGTTTTAGGATAGTTCCATGCTGTTGTGTTTATTTTTTACTGTTTCTGTTGTTTTAATTATTGTGATTGCCCAGAGTCACACTTGTGAGATGGGTAACTATACAAATTTAATACATTTATTTATTTATCACAGTTATGTAGCCACCTATCTCACGTAGTGATTGATAGATAGATAGATAGATAGATAGATAGATAGATAGATAGCCTGTTTTTCAATTGATTTCAGTGAGATGTTTTAAGAATCAACATAGGGTGAATATCAACAGATAAACACAGCTGTCTTTTTTGCAAAATGGATAAGAGGTAAGAGCTTCTCTGATATTTGACAAAGCTGTTGTTATTATTTCTCTTCTATTTCAAAGGTGTTTTTTTTTAATCAAAGTGTTTTTTTTTAAATCATGTCTTCTTCCTAGGATGTCAGGACAATATATAAGATAATATATTAAATATATAAGATATTAAACGGGTGTAATACAATAAAAGCATAAAACAAATAAAATATAAAACATAAAACAGAGGGATGCATAAAATGTATATAATTTTAAACTAGGCATTAAAATGATAGTAGCATTAATAGGAAGCAAATTTGAGTGGGCAGAGTATTTGAAAACCATCACTGAGGTAGAACACATGCTTTTCATTCCTACTAGGATTTCCCACTTGAAATTCTAGAGTTCAGCTTCAGAGGTAGATCCAAGATTTGTATAAGGAACCTTCCTATGTTTTTATATAAAAACAAAGAGTCTTATATGATACCTTAAAGATTAACCAATGTTATTATTAAAAAAAAAGGTTATAATTCATTCCATTAGATGCATTGAATTTAGACACTGAGAGAAGAACATTTTATAGATACACAGTTGTTTAGCAGGGAGGGAGAAGGGAAAAGGTAAAATGATGAGGAGAGAGGTCAGGGACAGGAATAGAATAATTTACATAGTGACTATAAATAAACAGATTTTTTGTTTCCAAGGAAGCAGCCTTGTCAGTATGTTGCAGTAAAAATAACCAAGAATCCTGTAATATTACAGACAAATCAATTTTGCCATGAGCTTATTGTTCATATATATTCTTAAGACTGGATGCCAACACAGAGAAGGTCCTCTTCTAGTCTCTCATAGTAAACTTCTTTACAAACCAAACCAAGAAAAGAGTTCCTTTAGTAGGGTAGAGTTACTCTCTTCTAAATGTTTGGGTCCAAAGCACGAGCACTTAGAATAGGCAGTAAATACAACTGCTAGTATGGAACTGGTACCAGGTACAATATTTATGGCAGCATTCTTACTATTTGAGGCTTCCAAGTCATCTTCAAATACAATCTTGTATTTTCCCGGGCAACATGAGAAATTTTATGTGAATTCAGATAAGATTTAGAATGTTGAATGGATGTGATAGTGTAGTGGTGAAGCATGATGGCCATGTTGGAGCTGGAGAGGAATTGTCTGACAGAGAATGGAGGCAGAAGCCAAGGCTAGCATGATGTGGTTCTCTAATGTAATGGACAATGTGGGTGAAGTGGGGGTAGGGGATGTCATTGCTTCCCTTGCTGGTGCAGTTGGAGGAAGTGCCCCCACACCAGTGATGGTGAATAAGACTGGATGAAAGCATATTGTTTAGTTGGGGATCCGCGGGTGGTACTCTGACACAGCTTACAAAAGCCATGGTGCTTCCATTGGCCATAGTGCCTGCTGGCATGAGGATGGAGGTAATATAGAGGGATTGCCATCTGTATAGGAACTGGCACCATTGGCAATCTCCCTTTCTCTATAGTTGCAGCTGGGTTAAATACTTGCAGTGACCCTCTCCCTGAATAAGAAACAGGAAGTGAGGTGAGAGTGTTCACCCCAGAGCAAGAGGTTGGGATGGTGACTTCTCTGTTGATGGAGCTCTTAGTGAGGGGGACCTGTTGCAGTCCATGTGGTTATAAGATGGAGGGGAGCTATTGGGTTAGACAGAGTAGTCTTGTTCATGTTGTTGGTTTGCTGAAGTATATCTGGAGGTGACTGATGGTAAGTGTTGTGATTGGGATGGCTCAAGATGAGTGTAGTTCCTTAGGTGTTTTGGCAAGAAGCCACATATCAGGAAGTGTTTTGGGGGGGGGCTGAAGGTGAGAGGGAAAAAGGACAAGTGAATTTTGGTAATGATGGGATGGAGATAATACAGTGAATGGTATGGAGAATGCCACCACATGACAAGGGAGACCAATAATTTAATGCTGATCCAAGCTTCTCCCTTGGAGACTCATTCCTCAGTTCAGAAGTCATAGAATTATAGAATCATAGGGTTGGAAGGGACCTTGGAGGTCTTCTAGTCCAACCCCCTGCCCAAGGCAGAAGTCCTCATACCATCTTGGACAAATGGTCATTCAATCTTTTCTTGAAAACCTTCAATGATGGAGCACCCACAACTCCAGGAGGCAAGCTGTTCCACTACTTAATAGTTCTCACTGTCAGGAAATTCCTCCTTATTTCCAGGTTGGATCTCCCTCTGACGAGCTTCCACCCATTGTTTCTTATCCTACCCTCAGGTGCTATGGAGAATAAATTGATGCCCTCTTCTCTGTGGCAGCCCTTCAAATATTTAGGACTGGTATCATGTCCCCCCTCAGTCTTTTCTTTGTTTAGCTAAACA